AAAGTCGGTCTTGGCCTAAGAAATAAATTAAAAATAGGAAAATTAGAGAGAAATTATTTAAATAAATTAGATATTATAATAACAAAAAAATAAATAGAAAAATAATTATCGAAATATAAGTATAAAGTAATAATATTAAATGAAAAATACTATTTAAAAATATATTTATTGACAAATAAATAATAAATAAATTAAAAGGACAGCTCATAGTAAAAACACAAATAAAAGAGGAATAATAATAATAATAATAATAATAATAATAATAATAATGTGATATCAAAGATAATAGTAATATTCATTACAACAGTAATAGTAATTGGGATAAAACGAGTAGAAGTAACAGTACCTGTGTTAAATGATAGCAGTTTACGCAGGTTCAGTACAATTCTAGATGAATTCGGATCTAATTCGGTGATGACATTTGGAAATTAACTCGTATCTTTGGCTTAAAAGTATATTTTGATTATCGAATTTAATTATTCTAATTTTCTCTTGTAAACACAGATTACATCTACTTTTAAAATCATTAGGAATGTGAGCGAAACCTATGATTTTCCAGTCAATCTGAGGGTTCAGATTTTTCTCCCTCAATTCCCAAAATTTCTTGGAAAGAGCAGTTTGGAATTTCAATTTGGGTTTGAAAAAGAGTGTCTGTAGGCATATAGTCGTTGTTTCCATTCACCCGCGGAAATCCGAATGTAAATATGGTGGTTGATCTTATTTCCTTTGGGGTAAATGGTTGCTTCGTAAATTACATTCGAGGTTCTGTATTTTCCTTCGACTGGATAATGTTCGCTATTTCTACAGTTACATGGGGGATCCGCGGGTGAATGGAAACAACGCCTAGGGTGCCCCACAGATAAAAAAAAATAAAAGAATTTGAGGTCAAGGGAACATGCAGGCCATGGAACCGGTCCTAACTTTCATGTTAGATGACAGCCAGTGTATCGCGAAAAATGTGACTAAAATGTGCTGGAGATTCACCATTTAGGAACTACATGCATCTTCGTATTAGCAGGTGTGCATCATCAAGTAAGTCTGGAATTGTGTTCGAAATAAATCACTGTAAGCATATCCTGTAAGACGTGCTGGCAGAACCTATGGACATAACAGACAGTTATACCCAATTTTAGTTCATCGTAAACTGATGCTGGAGTCTAGTCTGTATTGTAACTTCGGGATTCTAATCCGCCCACAAATGTTAATGTTGGTTCTGTAAAATTTTATTTCATCTTTTCCAAATGTTGCCTCATCCGTAAACAAGACTGAAGAGAGAAACTATGGATTGGCAGTTTGTGCAGGAAACCAGCTGCAAAGGTTCTCCTATGGTGAGTGATCAGGAGCGAAAGACCCTGCAATTTTTACAAATTTCACAGAGATAGGAGCTGCATTTGATGTACGATTCATGCCATACTAGAAGACGTACGACATGCTAGGGCCACTTGACGTGTGCTGATACCTGGATCGTCTTAGACAGCATGTGTTCTTCGTTGTCAGGTGTACAAGCGGATCTCGGTCTTTACCATCCATAACACGACAATAAGTATCAGCAAGAGTAAGATGACTCGGCTGTATGGAAACTCAATCTGATACAGCCGTGCATCCTCGCGTCCATTACCGTTCGTAAAAATCATATCTGTTGCCTACGATATGAATATACTGCCATTGTTAAGCGAATGACTTCTCAGGTAACTCACGAATTCAAACTACACAGACAGATTAGGAACAAACGTAGAAGAATGACAAATATAAACTAGTCTGCATGGCAACAAAGCAACATCTACCGTAATATTTCCATAAACTTAATAACTCAAAAATGAAGGATTTGCAGTCATATATTTATATCAATCTTTGTCCTTGATTTGGTGTGAAGAAACCTGCCTTCAATTCAAGTGTATATATGCTGTACTTATATATATATATATATATATATATATATATATATATATATATATATATATATATATATATATGTGTGTGTGTGTGTGTATGTATATATTACTTGTATCAAAGCTTTAATAAAAGTGAAAACTGTTAGTTTGATATCAGTCAGTCAGTTATGTGCCATGCGTGATACACGCTTTAGCGATCATGTATCTTTCGACTGACGAGGCAGATTTTTCCCCGCAGTAGGTTGGCATTTCTTTCTGCGAAAGACCAGTTGCCATCCAACGTTACAGAACCCCGTCTGCCCTGCTACTTACCCATAGCTGGAGGGAGAAGAAGATAATCCATACCATTCTAAAGCGTATTAGCGCATAATAGAATTTAATGTATCTGAATAGAATTATATTTCCTATTTATTTTATTACACACACACACACACACATATATATATATATATATATATATGTGTGTGTGTGTGTGTGTGTGTGTGTGTGTCTGTCTGTCTGTATGTATGTACGTATATAACTTCACCTCAGTATTCCAAATTTGTCTATCATCAAGACAACACACACACACACACACACACACACACATATATATATATATATATATATATATATATATATATATATATATAAGTGTGTGTGAAAAATATATAGAAAATAGGAAAGAACTCGTTCGGTAAATAAATCATAGTTCTTTAGTATTTTTGTTATTATTTTCAAAAAATAGTGCTCGATACAAAAGTAGAGCATAAATATAATTATTTATTTAAAAATATGATTCCAACACGCTACATAAGAGTTCTCATTTTTCAAAACAAGAGCCGAAAACTTCAATATAATTATTAGAATTAAAATGAATTTAAGTCCTAAGCTCTGTTCCATCTTCAAGCGAATTTTTTTTTTTTGAATCCCAGAAAATTTTTTGGGAATCCAACTTTTTTTTGGAATCCCCAAAAAAATTCACTTGAAGATGGAACAGAGCTTAGTACTTTAATTCAATTTAATTCTAATAATTATATTGAAGTTTTCGGCTCTTGTTTTGAAACATGAGAACTCTTATGTAGCGTGTTGAATCATATTTTAAATAAATAATTATATATATATATATATATATATATATATATATATATATATATATATATTCGTGTTCGTGTGTGTGCGCGTAGCTGGAAACCATCAAATTCGTTCTTCTACTAGATTAGGCATATCTCGACCTGCGTTTCTGTTTTGTATATGTTAAAAGAATATAAACAAAACAGATCTTATTTATTTTAACTATCTTTCTTGTATGATTACACATGTAAGTTTTTGGTTATTTCATTGTTTGTCTTTTCCAAATATTATTCCCACTGTTTTTGAATCTGCTTTTTCGCGACAATGCTATTATTATTGTTCTGTCTATTAATATTACAGTTTCCAGTTTTATTGTTTTTATTGTTCTCTATTGTTTAAAATGTTTCTTTTGTATATAACTTTTTTTATGAAGTGTTTATGATTTATTTTTCATAACCGCTGTCCTCACTATAAATTCTTAGCAACCACTTCCCAATGCACCTGCGCAAAGTAACCTTTATATCTAGCCGACTACTGGTGTCTGTTCTTGCTGACTATCTCATCTCTAGTGGGACACTCTAGAGCGAATGCTTTGACACCTGCGTGACGTGACATCTCTAACAAACAACGTAAAAAAAAAATCGCTTGAAAAAAATGTGATTAAATGGAATTTGCTAAGAGAAAGGGAAAGTGTGAAAGAAAAGAAGGAAGAAAAAGAGAGATGCAAAGAACGATCAGAGAAACTATAAAGACAACAGAGAGGAAAGGTAAGAGGTAAAAAAAATGAGAGAGAAAAAGTAAAAAAAAAAAGAAAAGGGGAAAATGAATGTGAAAGATATATAAATGTCAAAAAATTATTTTAAAAAAACAAAAAAAAGAATGACTAAATTGAATGGCTAAATTTGATTGGATCGCATTCAACCAATAAACATTTATCAGTTTGATCGCTATGGGTATCACGAAATTTACTGATGTTTTTACAAAATTATTTGCCGAGGTAAAAGTTGGTTTCTTTATTAGTCATTTTTTAATAGTTGTTTGTTTTTTTTTATATTCAGGCTTCATAATAAAATGCAACATAAATATGACGAAGAAAAATAATGGAAATTTAATAATAATTATAATAATAATAATAATAATAATAATAATAATAATAATAATAATAATAATAATAATAATAATAATAATACTTACACTGGACAATGTGCAAACACTTTAAAAACTGCAAACACTATGAACATCGGCCAGCGCCGGTTACAGAAATAGAAGATGTCACCATTCTATGGGATTATACCATCCACACAGACAGAAAAATTGAAGCAAATAGGCCGGACATTATTGTCAAAAACCAGAAAGAAAAAACTTGCCTACTAATTGATATGGCTTGTCCAGCGGATTGTAACATAGCAACCAAGGAATTTGAAAAAAACTATCAAAATACAAAAGACCTGGAAATTGAAATAGTCAAGAATAATACCAGTGGTAATAACTTGGAATTATAAAAATGGAACAAAACAACACATTGAAAGAATCCCTGAAACCCCATTTAAGAGACATACAGAAATTGTCTTATTATACAGCACACACTAAGGAGAACTTTGTCTGTGTAACGCTAGCAACTTCATCGGAGATAAAAAAAAAAAAAAAAAAAAAAAATTAACATGATAACAACACACCACGACCTGCCTTAGGTTTTTCCGCAGACTTGGTAGGTAGTGTGTCCATAGCAGAAATAATAATAATAATAATAATAATAATAATAATAATAATAATAATAATAATAATAACACTGAACTATTGATTCTTACTGTGTGCAGTAACACCACTTCCGGGTGTTCGAAACTCTCAAGAGAGCTGTAAATGTTCAGAGTCGTTGTAAATATGCTATAATTTTAAAACAGCAGTAAGATGATTTAACTATTTGAATCGTGATTGTGGCAAGACTGAATATTTTGTTTACATTCATGATTGTATATTCAATTTTAAATGTTTTCTGAAACAATATGAAGGGTAACCTGAAATCCAGATTCGCCTGACCTGCTAACCGTTACTTAGCTGTACACTTATAATCTTACGTTGTTCATATCTATCTATCTATCTATCTATCTATCTATCTATCTATCTAATTTATGCATAGCTATTTGATTCCATCAATGTCTATAGAACTATCTTATATTCTTCATATTTATGCTGCGAGCAAGATTGCTCTGTTCATAGCTATTAACGTATCTATGTCGTTAGCTTATTCTGTTCATATCTATCTATCTATCTATCGACAGATCGATCGTTCGATCTAATTCTCTATATGCTTATCTATTTGATTCTATTAATGTCTATAGATCTATATTATATTCTCCATATTTATGCTGCGAGCAAGCTTGCTCTGTTCATAGCTATTAACGTATCTATGTCGTTAGCTTATTCTGTTCATATCTATCTATCTATCTATCTATCTATCTATCTATCTATCTCAATTTATTCATATCTATCTATCTGTTTATCTATCTATCTGAATCTGTTCATATCTTTCTATCTATCTATCTATCTATCTATCTAATTCTTTTCATATCTGTCTCATTTTTCATATCTATCTGTCTATCTATCTCACTTTAGTCATATTTATCTCTCTGTTTCTATATCTATCTCAATCTGTTCATATCTATCCATCATCGTGGTGAAAAAACATGTAAGCTAATGTCCAGCAACGTGTAACCAACCCAGTGACAGCCGTTTGTTACCGCCAGAGATTACTTCAAGTAAAAGGCGCTGGTATAATGTAACAAAATCAGTAAAAGCACAATGTAGAAGAAAAGTTTACCGACCACTGAAATATTTTAACGACAACCGCAATTTAAAAACCATAGCTCCAAAGATTTGAGGATCGGAATTGCGATTGTCTGTAAAATGTCAGGGATTGCTGGTGAAAATGGAAACGAAAAGAAAGTGCATACTTAACATCAGAAAGGAAGCAGTAGAAATCTCTGCGGCACGTAATAAGGAAGGAAGGCTTGGAAAATCTGATACTCACAGGAAAGATTGAGGGTTATAGGGAGAGACAAAAAAAACAGCGCGTAACATACTTGATGGACTTGAGTAAATGAATGGTAGAACAGGGTTTCGGAAAAATAACAAAAAGACTAAAATTATTAAGATCTAAAAGGGAAGGAGGATATGGAGGGTCATGATCGGCTACGTCTTGAAATGACACGGCGCATAAAGAAGAAGATAAAATGAATATAGTTCACAAATAAAGAGAAAGAGAAAATTAATTTTACGTATGTACAGATAGTTAAGAAACGAAAAAAAAAAAAAACTAGTGCAGTGAGTGTGTTTTGCCCACGTGGTGTGTTTGAAATTAATTGGTCGGATTACGGAGATTAAGGTGCACACACACACACACACACACACACAGAGAGAGAGAGAGAGAGAGAGAGACTCAGAGAGACTCAGAGAGACTCAGAGAGAGAGACTCAGAGAGACTCAGAGAGACTCTCTAACCGACCCGACCCGATCCTGTTCTGAGGAAATGACCAAACATCAGAATAAACTTTGTTGGAAACGGCTTCTTGATTGAAATAAGAACCTTTCAGAACACACCTTATATTCGTTATGTAATTTTATTTTAGATATATATATATATATATATATATATATATATATATATATTTAGATAGATAGATAGATAGATATTTTCTGCGTCATCCATATATAATTATAGTTGAGCTCTCTAGATGTAACCGTAATTTCTATGGTAACAGGTTTTTCACGCATTTCTCGCTTGTGGAGCTACCTTCCGCCTTACCAGCCAACATTAATCTTCAGAAATTTAAATGCAATGTCAATCGCTTTCTAGTGTCCTCCTGATTACTCTTCTTTTGTTCTTGCTCCTTAGTAAAGTTTCTATTTTTAATTCCTTTGTCTTAATGGCTTTACTACCTTGATTAGTGTGAAATCAATTAATATATATATATATATATATATATATATATATATATATATATATATATATATATGTATGTATAAACACAAAAAGAGATATATGTAATACATAGGTTGGATAATAAAATAAAGGACAAACGAAAAGATACCAATACACAATATTCATTAATTTTCAACAATTTGACAGAAATGAAGCACGGAGAGAAAGGTTTTAACTTTGGAATTTTCGGACACATCTGTGTCCTTTATCAACAATCCGAGAAACAAACAGAGAAATGTCAATTACCCACTGACCGATGTTTTTGTAGGAAAACTATTTTCCAGTGGAAATCGTATTATGAGTAAAACCAGGTCCCTGTCTAATAACTCGATGTGCGAAACTTTTTATGAAAATAAACTTAAATTTTGATCGGTGTAAAAATGCTATGCAGATCTATTGTTACTGGTGTTTGTCGGGGTAGCGAGATTGTAAGCATTGATGAAGAGATTTTTGAGGTTGGGAAAGGGGAAAGCCATTTCGCATGTAGCAAAAATTGACAGATCAGGGAACTATGCATAGAATATGTTGTGATTAAAGGGAATAGAGAAGAAGAGAAAGAAGGAAAAAAGGGGGAAATGAACATATATATATATATATATATATATTCATGAATTATTCGCACAAAAACAAATGCAAAGGATCTTTTCATTCATAACGGATTCGGAGGTTTTTGTATATTATTTGAATTGTTTGCGACGATGGATTTCTCGCCAATTAAATCATTAACCTTTACATTTGTTTTTGTGTGAATAATTCATGAATTTGTAAATTGATTGCACGTTTATCGAAATATATATATATATATATATATATATATATATATATATATATATATATATACAAAGTTGATCAAATGATTAATCATCAAAATAAATTTTATTGTGGAGGACATGTATACATTGTAAGTATTTGTGGTAGTTTCAGTATCTATCTATATGGGATTTTTCTCTTAAATTCATTATCTATTCAAATAATAATTAATTGTCAAGTGAAATATATTATGGCCATTAAGTGATATAGCATTAAGTAGTACGGAACTGCATGGAACTCTCTACACAAGGAAAATAGCTCAACAACAAAAACCTTTTAACCATCGCACCTCATTGATAGAAGATTGCCATTCCGCGACCGATAGCAATCTTCTATGTCAACATAACAGAATATCATCTTTGATGGTGAATATCTTTGTTTAAATGTCCCAATAACCACTCTGAAGATGGCTCACGTGAGCCGAAAGCTTCGATCAAGGAACAACATAATAAAAAAATATATTAATGTTGGACAATTTTTGTTTTTTTTTCTCCCGAAATTAAGGCAAATATAAGGTCTTTTGAACGGCTCATGATCAAACATAATAGGCATTCGTTGTCTGTTGTCTTTGACAATATATGTTTGAATCATGATCTGCTGACCATATATATATATATATATATATATATATATTATAAATTAATTGATTTAAAATATGGTTTTTTTTTCGCTACACAGTTCCAAGCATGTTTCAAAAATAGAAGCTAAAAACCCCGAATTTAATATTGCAATTAAATTAAAAGCATTAGTTTCATTTCATCTTTAAGCGAATAACTGTGTAGCGAAAAAAAACATATTTTAATTCAATTAATTTATAATATTAATGCTCTGTAAATTTACATTGAGCACTATTTTGTAAAAATAAAAATATCTATAAGAACACCGGATTTTATATCTTGTTCTTTCTTTTTATTTATATTTATATATATATATATATATATATATATATATATATATATATATATATATATATATATATATATATATATGAAGAAAATATACGGAAAAACAAACAAAAAATCCTAATATGCAATTATGCTGTTTTAATGTTAATATAATGTCAACGTCGGACGTTTCGGTCTAGTAGACCATCTTCAGGACATATTCATAAAACATAATTAACATTGGACTATATTTAATTCAACATGAAAAGAAGATGGACATAAGATTAAGGCTAATCATAACTGAATTTTTTTTTTGTTTTTGTTTGTTTTTTCCGTATATTTTTCTTCGTACTGTCGGATCTATATCCATATATTTGCACACACACACACACACACACACATATATATATATATATATGTGTGTGTGTGTGTGTGTGTGTGTGTGTGTGTGTGATTTTGTATTTGGACAGCATTCCTCCTTCTATACAAATTTCATTAAAGACGACTGACAAGATACTGCGGTTAAGCTTTTTTATTGTCAGTCAATGACGTCTTTAATGAAACTATATATATATATATATATATATATATATATATATATATCAGTAATCAACAATTCACAAACTTCTAGTGTTGCTTCCGGGATTCGTCGGCAAGATAACTTACAGACATCTTATCAATTTAAATCACACTACTCAAGTGATTTTTCGTGTGTCGCCATGTTTTCTGTTCTAAAACTTGAAAAAAAATCAACTGATCAAAGAATCGAACTCTCTTAGAGGATCTGATTAAAAATGAGATATAGTTGTTGCTATTGTACCTGCAAGGCATGTTTGAAAACTTTAAAGATTTTTTTTAGTCAATCCAAAAATTGGTCTATTTCTTCAGCTAGCCACTTATAACAATATCTAATCTGAGCCAATAAACGAATACAAAATTAATATTTTGTAGCTTTCTACTTTATTGAATAGTCTACGGACATTATCTCTCTCTCTCTCTCTCTCTCTATATATATATATATATATATATATATATATATATATATATATATATATATTATATATATATATATATATATTATATGAGTAATATATATATATATATATATATATATATAGATAGATAGATAGATAGATAGATAGATATAAATATAGATATGTGATTACGTCAATATGTTCATAGGAGTGGAAAAATACAAATAACTCTGCTAAAATTGAGACAATGACGACAAATGCAAAAATATTATTGACCATTATGCGACATTTCTTTCTTTCTTTTTATTTACACTTGTTACGAATAAATGTTTGGAGAACATAACTGCGATTCGTGTATTGGAATTCCAATCCATCGATCACAGGTTCAAATGGCAACTTAACAATGGGAAACTGCCTCTACAAATATAAATTTATTTTACTTATATTCACGGCTCTAATTTATGCGCATGTTTGGCTCCCCCAATGCGCA